ATAACTTACATAATGCGTTGTCCTTCTCCTTGCTAGCAAAACCTAATTCTCTTTTCATGGCAAGATGCGCTCTAGATCTCCTCGTATTGTTTGGTTCTTGCCGGACAACAGCAACGAGCGAGCACAGTCTCTTTGGTGGCAAACGTGGAGCAGTTGTGTATCTTGTAGCTTTTATAATTGAAGCATATTGTACTGCATATTGTATGTGTTACTAACTTAACTTCGTAACAGTGGGTCTTACTAATTTAGCTCCAGTGGTGTAAAGCTTTGTGGGTTTTCATGGTGTACTTGCTTGGATATTAATTTTGCAACAGACTCAGAATTCAGATTCGGAACCAAAGGTTCTATCAACTGTTCAACAGTCTGAATTCTCCATGTCGTAGACGCTTTTGAGCTAGGGGGTTCTGTTGGCCCTTAGACGCTGGATTGCATCATTCTATGAGGATCAGGTCAGTCGACCTTGGATTTATGCGGCGGCGTTCCTATAGTTTTCGCCCGAAGTCCATTGGTCTGCTGGGTTGGGTATTTATTTTGCAAGATACAGGTATGTCTATTCTTAAAGTAGGTCGCAGTTTTTGACGCTAAACATTTCTTCAGGTGGTGTATGTGCTTAGGTACTAACTATGCAACTATTTCTGCATCATCTGTATCTGTATTGTATCTGTATTGTATCTGTATTGTATCTGTATTGTATCTGTATTGTATCTGTATTGTATCTGTATTGTATCTGTATTGTATCTGTATTGTATCTGTATTGTATCTGTATTGTATCTGTATTGTATGTGTATTGTATATGTATTATATCCGCATTGTATCTGTATTGTATCTGTATTTGTATCTGTGTTTGTATCTGTATTTGTATCTGTATTTGTATCTGTATTTGTATTGTATTTGATTACCGTTTCACCATATACGCGATACTCCTAATATACGGGGCGAGTATTATAATAATGGGACCCTGACCAAATTTCAATGCAACACAAAATACACATCTCATATGTAACTCTTTTTATATTTTGTTTTTCTAAAATGTACAAATATCTATCTAGCAGTTAATTTTGATTTTCGCAATAATTCTAGTTGTCAATTTTGAGCTCCGATAAGTTTTTAGTCTTCGCGATAAGATGAGGGTTAAATACACGAACGATGGAAAGGTTGATACGATCTTGAATTTTGGAGAATGCGGAAAAAATGCCGTCGCAACAACAAATCTCTACGGAAGAAAATATCCCGATAGGCGACATCCATCCGACCAAATCTTCAGATGTTGAGAAAAAACGTTAAGACAAAATTAGCCGAAAGAAACAAGAAATAGAGGACTTACCGCTACTGGTGTCGAAAATGAAATCCGTGTAGTTAAAGTCGTAGATAATGACCCGCATGTGAGCCAAAGTAGATAGGAATATCTCAATCTTCCGTTTCAAAAATTTTGAGAGCGAATGTAACGTTAGTACAAGAAGAAGACTCCCAGAAGTATACAATTTTGCAATTTTATGCAACATCAACTAGAGTTGGACAACAATTTTTTTATTCAAAGTTTTGTTCAGCGATGAAGCAAGATTTGGCAATAACGGGGTTGTTAATCGGCACAACTGTCACTATTACTTCCACAATAACCCCCACTGGATCAGAACAGCTCATTTTCAAAATGTTTATTTCATAAATATGTGGGCTATTAAAAAATGTTCCTCTCAACCTTTGTCAAGAGCTGTCGTTTCAGAAGGATGGGGCACCACCTCATTATCACATAGTAGTTAGGGATTATCTTGATGAAACGTTTGTAAGTAAGTGGATTGACAGAGGCAGTGTGAATGTTTCATTTCTGAAATTTCGATTGACGTCTTTCAGAAACAGTGACAACTAGTAAGGAGAGTACCTACGTTGACCCTAAAAACGTATGTGTTTATTTTGGAATCTAGCAATGACTGATAGATGTATGTTGTGTTGCATTGAAAAGTGGTCAGGGTGCCGTTATTATAATACTTGCCCTGTACATATAGATTTTGACAACAATTGGCCCGGTAGTTTAAAGAATTATCTGTCGAGAGATATATGTTTTCGTATTCTAGGGGCCATGAAACGCTGAAAAACGTAAAAGTAACTAGTCGCCGAATGAACTCGATTACAAGACTTCCTTAGCTTACGCTTTGGGAGTAGTGACTTTCAATTGAACACCCTTTATGTGTTTTAAATAATTTAGATTTATTTCGGTAGTCTAAGAATTATAAATGAAAAGCCCTATCTCCATCTAGCTACTAGTTTGTATGCTCATCCAAAGTCTGTTGTTGGACAACTACACTTATTTAATTATTTTTTTCACCTTTTACTTACTGAGCATCCAGAACGAGAAAATGTTTAGCTTCAGGGAAATGAATAAAAAATTACCCACAATTAAAACTCTATAATCTTATCAAGATGTAAAGTCAAGTAAAATATATCCCTAATTGATAATTTTTCATACAACAAATAGAAATTTCTCTACTGCTATCACAACGTTATCGTTACTTAGGTATATGTACTTGTACCACACACAAACCACACTTTGAATCAGTTGACATTTTTTCTCGATTAGCCAGCATTAAAATGGGCAACATCGATTCGAACCTAACAGTAATCAACAACACTAAGCAAGACATCGTAAGCACTTCAGCCTATTCATGTGCCAACTTCGATTGGAGGGGAAACAACAGGCCGGACCGCAACTTCCAAGGTTACAAAATCAAAGCAAAAGGAGGTTCAATAACCCAAAGTGCAGTCCTCAGGAAACAGGCAAAACACTGCCCTTTCAACATGAAATTAACATTCTCGGATGGCACAGTGGACGAATTTCGCATCCATCAAAAACACGTCGTTGGTTGCTGCGCTGGTTTTAACCACATGAGACGATCACACGACATTGTCTACCATACTGTCAATAGGAACACACTCGTTATCACAGTTAAAAATACCTCCCAACAACTACAAAATGAAAAAGCAGAGGAGAAGAATAAAGAAGGTGAAGCTCTCATGAAACAAAAACAACACGAAGCAGCAATGAAAAAGTTCGATGAAGCTCTTGGTCTGGCAAATCAAGCTGCAACTACCAATAAAGTCAAAAAGAACAAAAGTCAAGCCTGCAATGAGTTTGGGAAGGCGTGTTTGCAACAAGGGTGCGATTTGGAGGCTGATGTTAAACAAGATAAGTCTAAGGAAGCACAAGGTAAGTTTGATCAAGCAAAGCGCATGTTCCAACAAGCAATTAGTTTGTCCAATGTTGCGGAGTACCAGAAAAATATGAATTTGGTTAATTTGAAGATCGAGGGGAATCGTTTGTTTAACGAAGCGAACGATTTGGAGCAAGCAGCTTTCACTTTGTTTAAAAATGGGGCAAGTGATAATAGTGTTGCACAAAATAAATATAAAGAAGGTTTAGAAAAGTATAAAGAAGCAGTGAAGAAGTTTGAGGCAGGAGCGAAGATTGACCCCTCGAAGTTTGACGACAGTGTAACAATTGCTAATGAATGTGTTACTGAGGTGGCGAAAGTAATTGACAATATTGATCAAGCCGAGCTAAACAATAATGTTGGTAAAATGAACGCCGATGAAGAAAAGAAAGAGGAAAGCAAAGATGACCAAGTTGTTGACACAAGTTTTATTCAACAAGTAGATGGTGCAGAAAACTAGAAATCTACTTAGACACAAAAACGGCCAGTAAACTGCGTTCTTACATATTTTTGGCAAATTGAAATAATCCCTATTTGTTTGTAATTGATTAGTCTTAAGATATTGTGGATATTTCCTCTAATTTATGTACTGCTAATATATATTTTTCGAAGTAAAATGTAAAATATTTTATTTTCAAGTACCACTTCAATTTTAGTTGGCCTTCCCAGATAAACTGAAAAGATTCTAAAGTTCACCACTATCATGTTACAAAAACTAAACTTATTCTCTATAAATAAACTTTGAATTTTATACTTTTGTTTTTTTTTTGAGCGAATCCTCGCCAACAAGGTCAGTTTCTGTTGCTTTTGCAAATCGTAAACTTTATTCAATACTAATGAAAAACAAATAATCAATACAACACAAATTTCAACACGAATTACAAATTGATTTTTTTTGTTATCTTATGGTTCGATTCCTAAGTAATTTAAAATTCTCGACTATCAGACTCGGAACATAATCTCTTCCAGTTATAGCAATTCTAGAATTACTAATTTTAGTAATCAGCAGAGTTAGGCAAAGCCGAAGTGATGGGTAATCAATCAGACAAATATTAAAAACGACGGCGCGACGTCAGGCGATAAATTTGGCTAACGGCCTGTGCAGTCCCAACCTCAGTCGCGTTTGATGCAATTCAGGGTTTATCTGATCAAGACCATCACGAAAATTGTGATGTTGAACAGTCATTTTTAATTTTTAAAGCCTTTTAACGTCTTGGAGAACTCGTATAACTGTAGAAAAACTTGAAAAAGTAGTCATTGTTATTAAGAACTCCCGACGTTGTAGGCCACGACTGCAATAGCGCTGGCGATCGGCCGGCAATGAGCATCACTTCCGAGATGCCGAGGTCTGGTAATTAGTCATAGTAACAATTATATACCCGATTTAATTGTCCATGTTTTAAATTTAGAAGAAATTCTGTTACTTTTATCTCAACCGTTACTTAGAAGCAATTCAGATGTGATTCAATGTTTTATTATCGTACTTTAACAAAAGATGATAATCATTCTAGAAAAGCTTAAAAGTAATAACTATCCCTGCATCGGAGTAATTAAAAATTTCAAATCACTGAATTCGATGTGCTATAACCTACATTTGTGTGTGTAGTTACAATTGTGAACATATGCGAACAACAATTTGAATTACCCGGTACAGAACAGGTACTGAATACGATATTGTAGCATCAAAGTAAACGTTATAGATATGTAATAATATTGTGACAACAAGATAATTTTTATCTTTTGCGGATGGGGAAATCCAACACAACTACTAATTATTTGTTTATCAACGTGATAAAAATACGGTTCACCTTGATGGCAAAGTACCCATCAATTTTCTTATCATACCGACAACGCTGTCATAAATAATCATTCACCGTGAGTACAACAGTGTAATTGTGTTTACAATCACAAACAAGTTTTTTAAACCAAAATTCTTTAATTTATTTAGCTTTAGAAAACGAAAAATGGGCGCCACATATACTGTACTGAAGATTATCAACAGCACGTCCACAGATATCGTCAATATTTCTATTACAAATTTCAATGAAGCGCATTTCTGGCCAGAAAATAGTCCCCACAAGAATTTTGACGGTAAGAAAATTGAAGCGAAGAAATCTTTAGAGAATCCTATCCATCTATACTCGCCTCGATGGCATTGTCCATTTACAATGACCTTTCAGTTTAAAGATGATGCCAAGGATGTAATTCGCATCCACCCAAAATGTGCAGATACTTACAAGTGTGCGTTCAAACATTTAAACAAAAACCACGACATTATTCACAAGCGAGAAGAAAATACAATTATTATTACAATAGAAGGCGAGAACAAAAGTGAAGATCGAGAAAAGGAAAGTAAAGAAAGCGAAGCCACTTTAGAAGAAAAACTTTTCAATGAGGGTTTGCGTCTAGAAGCTGACGGTAAGGAAAATGAAGCCAACGAAAAGTTCGCAGAAGCGAAAAAAGTCTGTGAGGAGAGTGGTGATACAGAGAGCTTGCATGTTGTCAACTTGAAGATAACTGGGAATATTTTGTACAACAAAGGCATAGATTTGACAGAGGAAGTTCGGAAACTTTTCGAAAGTAATACTGAAGCTGCCATCAATAAGGCCAAAGAAGCTTTAAACAAATTTCAAGAAGCAAAAAGTATATTTGAAGAGGGTTTAAAATACAGCACATTGTTTTCCAGTAGTGTCGAAATTACTGCACAACAGTGCGAAGATATGGAACATCAGTTGCTTGAAGCAGATCTCCAAGACTTACACGAAAACACTAAAAGATTGAGCCTCAGTGATGTTCAGAGACAAAACAAAAACACAGAGTATTTACACACAGAAACGTTTGTTCAACAGATCGATGCTACCATTAAATAGAACTTTTTTTAATGTTTTTGTCTGTTATACTTACTCAGTTTATTTATGTTAGTTCTGATTCTTGCATTTGAATAAAAATTTCTGTTTCCTAGATAATTATTTTTTGAGTTTATCTATCCTCATTTTCCACCGACCTCACTGTCGATTCCTTTTAAGATTGATTTTAAACACATTTTTTAACGATTTTGTCAGTCAGAATTTCCGTTAGAAATGTGATCAAACACATGTTCAAATTTTGTTTTTAAAAAATTTATATTTAGCCTACTTTTCACAGTTTTCTCTTTAATTTATCAACAAGTTGTTCATTATTATTATTTTTTTTATGTAGAAATACTCATGAAACAAAAATTAAGGAGATCAGTTGACATAAACTACAATTTTATAATGATGTATTCATGTGGTATTTCGACTTTCGGCTAGAATCAACATATACAAGATTTATTTAAATGATTATTATAGGGTCAAAGTATGTTATGGAAACGTGCAGCCTAGCACTTTATGCGGATTTTACTAAATGCTCAAGGACTCACGACAAATACCAAATACCACACGTATCTGTATAACTAGTTGATTTCTAGATTTGTTTATATAGTTTGTTTGTTACAAGTGAAGCTAATATAAGCGTGTTAAAAAGGAGAAAATTGCAATTCAAGTGTGATTCAGTTCTTACGAAGCCATTCGCTTTTGAGTTAATGAGTTCAAGCACCTAGTAAAACTTTTATGACTTAAGCGGCTCACGCCAAACCACCCTTATAAGGCAAACTGGCTATTGTATAACTTAACTCAGTTGACATATTATTTAGTAAAACTTTACAGCTCCATTATGGCAACAATGAACAGTAATAATCGTTGCGGTTCGGGTCCATAAAGCTTACAAAATAGCCAGGTTGACTTATAAGGGTGGTTTGGCTTAAGCCATTGCAGTCAAAAGTTTTAGTAAGTGTATGTCAAGTGAGTTTAGTATAAGTAGCTTCATCCTAGAGTTATAGAAGACATACCTGACTTTAAAGTTGGACCCAGGACACCACATGGATAGAAAAGGTGGTTTTAAATTTTATAAAAATAATAAGCGATTGTTTCTAATGGAGAGACTAAGCTAAGAAGAACAAATTTTTTTGCGTGAATATCAGCACTACAAAAAAGCAAAATTATACAAACACCTTTTTCTGCATGAAACATGAATATTTAGTAAAGTTAGTATATGTAAAAAAACATGGTAAGATATAAATATATTGTATTTCACGCTAGCAATAAACACGATTTTACTGAAGAAGATGGCGATTATCATAACATTAACCAGGAAAATTTTGAAAAGTGGTTTAAAAAGCAATTAATATCCAATCTTCCGGAACCATCTCTTATTATAATGGATAATGCAACTTACTATGGTATATGGTGTTTATTTTAGTTTTGATAAGTACACTATACTTATATTTCTGCTTTAGTTGTAGGAAGAAATTCTTCGAAATAGTTGGACAAAGAAAAAAGGGCGGCTTTGTCAAACACAAAAAAGATTATCCCGAGAAAGCGATGAACGACCAGATTTGGAATATTGTGCACAACAGACTGCTCAAAAAATCATTTAAATCACTATGTTCAAGCACATGGACATTATGTCCACGCTTTAAATATACATTATTTCTCCGTAAAGTTTGCACTGCACCAATAATAATCACAGCATATTAATAATAAATTTATAAGTATATAACAGTAATAATGATAAGATAATGTAATTATTGGTTCTTCCAGATGCGTCAAAAAACGAGAATGAAACATAAATGGATTACATGAATCCCACATATTCATTAGATTTCCGAATGCGTCAAAAAACGAGAATGAAACATAAACGGATTACAAGAAGAACTTTTAAACACTTAAAAAAACCTGATTGTTAAAATATAATCCAGTGATAAAATACACGGAAAAGCAAATATAGACTATTAGACTATTTGTAAATAACAAATAGGAGTACAATTTTTATTAGTTTGTCTGGATGAAGACGACCCACATTGGTTTAGTTTGTTTCAAACTGAGATGAAATTGTTTAAACTCTAAGTTTACCAATATTTTAAAATTAAGTGTCCAATTTTTTTCAAACATATTTAAATTTTACTCATAAATGATCCATCATCTTTCGTACAGCTCATAAGTTGGTAACGGTTGTTAAATCACCGGTGCTTGTTAATTTTCTATGGAAATATAGGGATTGCAACTGAAGAAATTACCGCATAAAAAAAATGTGATAAAAAACGAGTTACAGTATATGGTACGGAAAGGGTCATCAATGGCTCTTGCGCACAACTCTTGGCGACATTGCACACCTGTTCAAGACATGCTCCCTCCTGTTATTCTACCTCCATGATTAATGGTATATTTGACCGTTCAGAATCATTACTCTGTATTGTTAAGTAGAAGTCGGCAACAAAAATATTTTTCATTTAAAAAGTTACAGTTTTTAGTGAGTGGAAATAAAAATATCAAAATATGGGTATTCGTTTTTTCTTGCGCCATAGCATATGAGTTCACAACAAGCAACTATCTTCTGAGAACGATGCCTACAAACATACATATTTATTTAATAAAAACTATTTGTTGATATTTGTATGTAAATAAATATACATAAATCAACAGGGTTTTTTTTAAATATATCTTTATCTCCCCTGTTTCAGCTGACCTTATATGTATTTAAAAACAAAATTAACAAAAACAATATTCTCTTGTGAAAAATTGCAGGTAGGGGTGTTCAGTAAAATTTAAATGAAATGAGTATTGTGTCCTGTCTAACAAATATCGTATAGTGGCGGTAATACCCCGGGTAAAAATTTTTCTCGTTCTATCTTATAAACTTCGTGTGAGACAAAAAAATACCAAATTTTGAGAATGTCGTACAAATTTTACGCAAAAATTGTGAAAGTCATCAGAATTATATGCCAAACAGAATCTTTGGTTTACTTAACGTTTTACTATTCTACTTAATTCTTAATTCTACAATGCAACGATTTAGTGATGAAACAAAAGAAGTTATATAAATTTGTTGGATTATATAAAAAAAAGCAGAAATAGTTTATGTGAGTAATTACGGACTGGATATGTGATTATAGGGTGTACAGCCATATTCGAGTTTTGTACAATAACGATTTTTAATCCACTAGTGACAAAGCAAAAGGAAAATGGACGCCACGTACACAACTTTTTTTAAAATCATCAACAGTATCTTGTCATTATCTCCATCATAAACTGTAATGAAGCTCATTCCTGACCAGAAAATTCCACCATGTTGGAACTCATCTCGATGACACTATCCGTTTACATTATTGACAAACGAGAAAATATTGGTTATTGTTAGAACAGGAGAGACCGAAAGTAGAGGTCGAAAAACAGTTTGCAAAAGCAAAACGATTATGTAACGACAATGACAACGCAGAAAGTTTGCATCTTGTCAATTTGAAGATAAATGAAAACATGTTGTATAAGAAAAGTGTACATTTGGGAGGAGAAGAAACTGCGAATTTTTTTTTAAGTTACCGTAGAAGCTGTGATAAACAAGGCAAAGGAACCTGTAAACAAGATGCATATTTGAAGAAGATTTTTTTAAATCTACAACACAGTATTTTCTCCAGTAGTGTCGAATTTAGCAGCATTTATTGGAGTCAAACTTTCAAGAACTTCACGAAAACACTAGATGGTTGAACACCAATGATGTTCAGAAGCAAAAAAAGAGTAGACAATATTCACTTGAACATATATTTTCGTTTGGATATATGGATATAACAATAAATACACTTTTAACAATGCTTTTATTTACCTCAAAAACAATATTATTAAGAAATTACACATTTACTACTAGCATTTACTTCTTTTAGTTCTGGTGATTGCTTCGTTTGAATAAAAATTTCTATTTCCTGGATAACTATTCTTTCAATTTCTCCATCCTCGTTGTCCTCAAGCACAGACTTCAATGCACCAATTATTTTCAGCATTATTTGTAAACACATCTCTTCAACTATTTTGTCAACATCGTTATCACAGTTTGCGTTGGGAAGGTGTTCAAATGCATGTTCAAAAATTGATTGCAACGAGTTCGCATCTAGCATGCTATTGTCTCTTTTCTTTAATAATAATTTACCAAGGGGTTGTTTCATAGTTTCTTCTAAAAGCACCAAAAGGTCGCAACCAAATCCAGCAATTATACTCTCTGCATCTTTTTCTTTCATAAACTCGTCCATGGCGTTTATTATATTTTTGATGGCAGACGACGAAAATTTCTCTTTTAATTTTTCGTTCCTTTCTAGGGATGATTTCAGTATATCTTCTAATACTTTGAATACTTGACCAAAAATGAAGTTGCAAGTTTTTTCCAAGATGACGGCTTTAATTTCTTTCTTTTCAGTTCTTTCAAAATTCGTAAACAAGGTCAACGAAGGATAAGCAAGACCTTCCAGACTAACACAAATGTCATCCAATTTGCTGGCGGAAATCTGCGAAGTTTGATTAGACTGCTTTAATTGTGACGCTAATTTAACAATGTACCACTCCAACTGTGTCAGATTAACACTGAGACTAAAGTTTGACATTAAAGCGGTGGCTAAGGGTCTCTCAAGAAAATCGTCAAATGAAGACAGCATGTCTGGGAGGAGGCTTGTAATCAGTTTTGAAATGTCCTCAGATGACTGAAGTCTGCTGATCATCATGTCTGCCACTTCGTCTGTCAAACATTTATTTTCAAGACAATTTCTTGTAGACGCTTTAATTTTTTCCATTACTTTATCCAACACTATGTTCCATAGCAACGTTTTGGTACCATCCAATCGGAAAATATCGTCCGTTTTGTCGGATTTTGACATGGTCGAAGTAATAATTTTCATTATTTGTGATGAAATTTCTCTCAAAATATCATCTAAAGAATTTTCATCAACGCCTCCAGGTAAGGTTTCTTCAAGATTAATCAACAAGCTTGTCCCGTATTCTGCAAACTCTGACAATTCCAAAATATCTTGTGCACTCATTGCTAATTTGTCCTCTGGGATGTTTCGTAGGACATTCGAAACTTGATAACAAATTTTTAAAAGTTTGAACCTATGGTTATCAAGAAAATC